TAAGAATGATACTCTGGTCTGATAATATCCGTTATATGAAAGACTAAAGCTTAGTAAGTTTTCACTAGAAGGTTCTAGTAAAAGCAACCGACAGCTGGTCAAGAGAAATCCTCCACTGCCTTCTGGTGGGATCAACGTTGGAATCTTCTCATCAGGATTAAAGTTAAGCAATAAGGATAATTAAATAGCAATTGAGAGATTAAGATATAAGATAAATTGAGTTATTGAAAGCTGTTAAGGTTCAATTAAGCTTTGATATAAGATAAAAGTAAATGTAAAGACAATGAAGTAGCATTTGCTGCAAAAGCACATTGATTGCCATAATCATCTCTGAAGCATATTAATTTCAACTAGAGTCGAAACTTATTCAAGAAGGTCATATCTTAGTGATATTATTTTTAAATTATATCAGTGCTACTTAATCTGCAGCAAATAGTCTTACCTTTTGCATAAGTGTTTTTGACCCCATTTCAAATGCTGTAGTTGTAGTTAAAGCGGTATTGGATTGCCTTGACTGTGACTTGCATCTAGCTAGTGAGCTTTCGCCACCGGACGTCGCACTTGAGGTGATCTCACTAGCTGCAGCACCTCTCGTCTTTAAATAGTCTATTCTATTCTCAGATATTGGAACCTGTTTTTCGGCTTTGCCCAGAAGTTGATCTTCCAAATTAATCACATCAATTGAGGCAGTTGGAGCCAAGTGGCGAAATTCGACTGAAGGAGTTGTTGTCCGATCACTAGCGCCTGTCAGACAAGAGCTGGAGTGGATATGAAGAGTTGTAGTTTTCGATGAGGCTATTTTAGTTGATGTCATCATCTTGGTCTCTGTTGCTGTGCTGTTTCGGGTGCAGCCGCCAGTGCTTGTTCCACTGTAGATCATTCTAGACAAGGATATCTATAAATAAACCCAAAAGCCATATATATATAAATGAAATACGACAACTATGCAAATCAGTCTATTTATACTATTCCATCTAATCGTGTATTCGAGCCCGCAAGGCAAACGTCTATCATTTAGCCAACAATTGTAGAAAGCCCTGATATATGATTGAGACCATGAGGAAGATAAACTAATGTAAGATTGAGCAGAATATGTTATCGATATGAAATCATAGTGGAGGCCAAACAAGTTACGAAACAGTATCGAGGAAAGGAAGCGCGTCGCATCAAGAACGTGACATAGTAATAAAAGCTTTGATATGTAATTGTATATATCGCGAATCAACTAGTGTCAGGAACCATGAAGAAACCATCCAAGTTTTTGAACAAGATGAAAAGATAACTTCACACGAATGCTATCAATAAAGTTTTTGTAACCTGGCTGGATCCTTAAAAAACTATAAGTTATTCATCCATTTATCTAAAATTTATGTAGTAAAAAGAAATTAAGCTAAATAATATTATCATTGATTTATTAGGTCCTCATGCAATTTATAAGAAAGATGATGAATACTATCAAGAAGCTAAGGACTATGCAATGCTGACTCTGGTCATAGGCCACGTTAGAAATGAATTACAAAAGCTTCATCTCGCCAGAAAAAAAGGTATTTGCCCAGTAAAACAACTAAAAGCGCCTCAAAAAGATAAAAAGAATCTTGGCTTAAAGAAGCCCTTAAAGAAGCCCCCCTTCACTTGGTTGCACCTTGCACTTCCCTGTAAAAAAGATTGGAGGGGACTCGTAAATAGGTCTCATTTGAAACCATAGCAGGACTGATTTGGACAAGCGATGGTGGCTTTGAACGAAGAAATCTCGGCACACCGGCCCTCGAATCCGAGGAATCTGTGCTGAGCTTTCATCCGTCATTTCATAGAGACCATTGAGACTATGAGGAAGATAAACAAATGTAAGATTAAGCAGAATATGTCATCGATATCCCTAAGACAATAAAGGTGTTCGGCTGCATCCCACCTACGTCTTTTGGCCCAACTTGCCCATCTAACAAGGGATCTCACGATTTTGTAGATAATAGATAAGAGAAGTGACTGCGAAGGACGTGCAAATGAAAGTGGTTGTGACCGAGCGATTGTTACCTCACCAAAATCACTTGCATTCTTTAACCTGCAATGCTGACGGATGCTATTTTGTTCGATTTTAAGTGTATTATATGCATCCAGTGCTTATGCTGCATTCTAAGTGTGAGAGCCTAACGAGATTCAAGGCTAATTAAAACTTCACTTGGTGCTCGTTAGTTGACCTGCTGTCCCTTCATAATCGTAGCAACAGCCGCAAGTATTGCTCATTCAATTTACTACAATCGCTGTTTAGACTCAGGATATTAAATGATTTTTATTTATATTCGAAAAATTTAGACGGGCTGATGATGCCGTCTAGTCAGCCCTCGAAAAAGATATACAAATTACTGAGGAAGTAAGGCATTAAAACTTTGAAAAAGGCGAATTTTTTTATCCTCTCTTCATAGCATCTTTTGTGTGGGCTGTGGTAACGCGTGGGGGAGAACTGCTCACCCGTGCATAAGAGTTTGTCTAAGCATTAAACAACAGGCAAAGGTACAAAAGCGGGAATGGGCTGAACTTATTTATAACAAATGATACCAGATTGTATGAGATATATTCATCCTATTTCGTTTAAGGTGATAAAGGAACCCTGCTTATATACGAAAAATAATACCAGATTGACTGGCCTCGTCTTTACAGCGTCATATTCTCAATTAATCCAGCTCTTCCCTTGAATGTCTACTATTGCATGCTTCTACGCTTCTAGCGTGTGTCAGTTCCACGCAGGCGAATTCTTCCCAAACTCGCATCTACACTTGTGCTATAGCAAAGTCGGTTAAACGTTCACGTAAGCAAGAACGCACTCATTCCGTGTCTAAGGCAAAGCCAATCAAAAACAGTATCGTCAAGTCCACGGTGGCAGAACTATTCTCCCTCTATAGCCGAAAAGTGATTTGCCACATTGTGCCCCTTCGGAGTATTCCATAATGACGTCTCTTTATAATGGCGTCACAATTGCCCGTTTCCTGTAGTCCTCTTCTGTTTAGCCCTCTACAGAATAGCCACAAGGAAAAACTGCATCTATATTACAACTAAATGTACAGTTGAATCCTACACAACCTCTAAGCTACATCGTTCCGACTCTTTTTTTTCCAATCAGTACCAGGACAGGTATCAT